CGGCTTTGAGAATCGGCTTTGAGAATCGGCTTTGAGAATTCGGCTTTGAGAGAATCAGCTTTGAGAATCGGCTTTGAGAATCGGCTTTGAGAATCAGCTTTGAGAGTCGGCTTTGAGAATCGGCTTTGAAAATCAGCTTTGAGAATCGGCTTTGAGAATTAGCTTTGAGAATCGGCTTTGAGAATCGGCTTGAGAATCAGCTTTGAGAGTCGGCTTTGGAGAATCGGCTTGAAAAATCAGCTTTGAGAATCCTTTTGAGAATTAGCTTTGAGATGGCTTTGAGAATTAGCTTGGCTTTGAGAATCGGCTTTGAGGATCGGCTTTGAGAATTAGCTTTGAGAGTCGGCTTTGAGAATCGGCTTTGAGAGTCGGCTTTGAGAATCGGCTTTGAGAATCAGCTTTGAGAAACGGCTTTGAGAATCGGATTTGAGGATCGGCTTTGAGAATCGGCTTTGAGAATCGGCTTTGAGAATCGGCTTTGAGAATCGGCTTTGAGAATCGGCTTTGGAATCGCTTTGAGAGTCGGCTTTGAGAAAATCAGCTTTGAGAGAATCGGCTTTGAGAAATCGGCTTGAGCGGCTTTGAGAAATCGGCTTTGAGAATCGAGTGAGAATCAGCTTTTTGAGAATCTTTGAGAAGCTTTGAGAGAATCGGCTTTGAGAATCGGCTTTGAAAATCATCGGCTTTGAGAATCGGCTTTCGAGAATCGGCTTTGAGAATCGCTTTGAGAATCGGCTTTGAGAATCGGCTTGAAGAATCGCTTTGAGAGAGTCGGCTTTTGAGAATCGGCTTTGAAAATCGGCTTTGAGATCGGCTTTGAGAATTTTGAGAATCGGCTTTTTGAGAATCGGCTTGGAATCGGCTTTGAGAATCGGCTTTGAGAATCGGCTTCGAGAATCGGCTTTGAGAGTCGGCTTTGAGAATTCGGTTTGAGAATCGTCTTTGGAGAATCGGCTGAAAATCGGCTTGAGAATCGGCTTTGAGATCGGCTGAAATGAGAGCTTTGGAATCGGCTTTGAGAATCGGCTTTGAAATCGCTTTGAGAATCGGCTTTGAGAGTCGGCTTTGAGAATCGGCTTTTGAAAAATCTGGGCTTTGAGAATCGGCTTTGAAAACGGCTTTGAAGAATCGGCTTGTTGAATCGGCTTGAATCGGCTTTGAAAATCTCGGCTTTGAAAATCGGCTTTGAGAATCGGCTTTGAGAATCGGCTTGAGAATCGGCTTTGAGATCGGCTTTGAGAATCGGCTTCGGCTTGAGAATCGCTTTGAGAATCGGCTTTGAGAAAGAGAATCAGGAAAAGGAAAAAAAATATAGTTATTTTTTTTCCTTTTCATACGAATGTTGAGACGAAAGATTTTTACATTCGCGTTTGTGTGTAAATCTTAAATAATAATTTAACGTGCGGCATAAGTATGCAAGTATGTGTGTGTGTGTGTGTGTGTGTGTGTGTGTGTGTGTGTGTGTGTGTGTAATATGTATCATATTTCAACAAGCGACGACGCCCGATTCAACGAGACGATGTCCTCACTAAAGCAAGGCTCAGCTCATCCCATGTCACACCCTCTCTCTCCTCTGGGTTGGCTTGGCTTGGCTTTCTCGTTTTTTTTTTTGTTGTTGTTGTTGTTGTTTTTTTCCACCGAATGGCTTGTCGTTTTCTTCTTCCTAGTTTGTTGGTTTTGTACAACTATACGATTAGACTAATCTAATACGTGTTTTTTTTTCTCGTAATCTTTTCCGACAACCTGCAAAGAAATTCAACAAGTTATAATGGGAAGAGAAACACATATGATACTAATTTTCTTACGTGCTTGTGACACGAAAATTATCTTTACGATGACGCCTATCTATTTTCTTATCTTTTATGTTATCATAACTTTACCGCCATGACGTCACACTTTTTTGAAACTGAAGATTTTTTTTTTCCCGACCGACAGACAAAGGTCAATTGTATTACGAGTATTATGAACACTTGAACAGACTGAGATACTTTGAAGTGGAGTAACTGAGTCGTATTTCTGAAGACATTATTCAGAGAAGTTTTATCGGATAAATAAAGATCGAAGATTTTTAAAAATATATCGAACATTTTTATCGTCTTTTATCTTTCATTCATTTCCTAAAAAAACAATAATAACAATAATAATAATAAAATATAATTATCATTATATTATTTTAATAATAATTGTAATAAACATGATAACATAATAACAATAAAAATGATAATGAAAACAGCAGCAGCAATAATAATAATAGTAATAATAATAATGATTTTGATAAGATCTCTATCTTTCCACAGTGTACTTCACACGGACCATCTTATCATTTACCAAATAAAGCAATTGCAATGCAACGCAAAACCACGCATTTCATCATATGATACGAAATATAATGTACTTTCTGTTCTTCGTGAAGTTTTCAAGTAACCTGTTGATCCCTATATTTATCATATCAGCTGTTATGCCATCCCACATTTATTTACGAAGATTGCAGCAATATGAATTATGTTGACCATGAGAAAAAAAAAATCTATGATAAACAGCCATGTTGACTCAGACTTCCAAGGTCAACTCTTTCATAACACACCCACATAAATCTTATCTCAGATAGATCTCACGTCATCAACCTGAATCTGAGATACACCCTTTTTTTTAATAATACATTTTATTATTATTATTATTAAACATCATTTTACTGGAATTGAATTTCGAAAGGTTCTTCCCCCGACGGAAAAAAAATCCGTATCAGGAACCCGGATCGAAAAATATCTCGACAAAACGGGTAATGGAAGCGTTAGTAATCTAGATTCAAATCTAACGGCTGATTAGACGAGCGCACAACCCAATTGGAAACGAGGAGCTCGGGTAATTACGAGTGGCAATTTCCCGTTAAGGAGCACTTAGCGTGAGAGGTTCCTAATTGCCTTGGCCACGCCCCGTTGTCGGACTCTCGGCCAATGGGCGAGCGAGATCGTTGCCACGTCGCCCTTTTTATCCTCCTAATGATGGCCTGTATATTTACTTTGCACTTACCTTTAGGGACAGGATCTGCAATATTGTGAAACAATTAATTACATTGGCGAGACTGTGGTGAAGGTAAATAATAATAGTATGTGCGGTTAGTCCCAGACCTGTAATTAGAGCTCGCGTGATTAATTGGAGCTATAAACGAGCTATATCAACCCTGCCGCCTGATGATCGCATGGGCAAACTTGACAATTTGTTTACGTTATGATCGAGAGAGAGGAGAGAGAGAGAGAGAGGAGAGAGAGAGAGAGAGAGAGAGAGAGAGAGAGAGAGAGAGAGAGAGAGAGAGAGAGAGAGAGAGAGAGAGAGAGAGGAGAATGGGGGTAAAAATAAAGAAAGATTGGGAAGAGAAAGAGGGGGGAAATAAGAAAAAGTGGAGAGGGCAGAGGGAGAGAGAAAAAAGAAAGAGAGACGGAGGGAGGGAGAAAGAGAGAGAGACGGAGGAAGAGAGAGAGAGAGGAAAATCTCTAGGAAGGCAAGAAGATTGCGTGTTGATAGAGAAGGATTAGATTAAATTAGATTAAAATGATAGCAAAGAAGACAGATTAGACACCAGTCATAATACACACATACGCGTGAGTGATGAGTGTGTAGAAGATTTGTTACAGACAACAGAACAACCCGCGGTTCCTCTGAAAAAAGTACTTGTTTCTGTGAAGTTTGGGTACACATGATGGGGAAAAAAGATAGTGTAGGAATTGAGGAACGTTTTAAAGATTTTTTTTTTTTTTGTAAGGTGTATTACGTAAGAGATATATGAATGTTTTTCTTTCTTTCTTTCTCTTTTTCTTTTTTTAAGTGACTTTTTTTATCTTTCTTTTCTTCTCTTCTTCTTTCTATCTCTTCTTCTCTTTCTTTCTTCTAAATAAAGCTGTCTAATAGCTTTTAAACATGCGATGTCCATTTTGTGGCATATACCTCTTGTTCGTCTTTAGTTTCCAGAATTATAATAAGAAGAGAGAGGGAGAGGAGGGAGAAGAAGGAGGGAAGGAAGGGAGAGAGAAGGGAGGAGAGGAGGAGAAGGAAGGAGGGAGGGAGGAGAGAAGGAGAGGGGAGGAGAAGAGAAAGGAGAGAGAGGAGGGAGGAGAGGAGAAGAAGGAGGAGGAGAGGAAGAGGGAGGGAGGAGAAAGAGACAAAGAGAAAAAAAAAGAAGAGAAAGAGAGACAGATAAAAAAAAGAAAGAGAGAGAGAGAGAGAGAGACCAAAAGCAATTAGCAATAATATCAATACGAGCTAGAAGAGCCAGAAAGAGAGAGAAAAAATAAAATAAAGAAAGAAAACACGAATACAAACACAGAAAAAAAAAACACAAATCCCTCCATTTCTATCCCAGGCCAACGACCCAACGGAACGGCAGTTGAATCGTTCCACAATCAACACTAAATAACATTAGTCTAAAAAATGTCTGGAACACCATTCACGGGAGTTGAACGACGCTGGTTTAAGCCTCGCCATAAATAACGCCTTTTCCTTCACCAAACGACGCTTAGTCGGCATTTGTCAAAATTATTATCTCTACGTACTTTCGTGCAAGAGTTGGCGAATCTAATGATCTGCTCGGCTGGTTGAGGGAGGCTGTTTTAAGTGATTTACTTTCCATTAGCGAATCCAACACCTGTGACAAGGTTGCTTAGACTCTTGGCAGACGGGGCTTCCCAATTCTCTCTCTCTCTCTCTCTCTTCTCTCTCTCTTCTCTCTCTCTCTCTCTCTCTCTCTCTCTCTCTCTCTCTCTCTCTCTTCTCTCTCTCTCTCTCTCTCTCTCTCTCTCTCCCTCTCTCCCTCTCTCTCTCTCTCTCTCTCTCTCCTCTCTCTCTCTCTCCTCTCTCCTCTCTCTCTCTCTTCTCTCTTCTCTCTCTCTCTTCTCTCTCTCTCTCTCTCTCTCTCTCTCTTCTCTCTCTCTCTCTGAGTCTAGCCGCCGTGGTGATCGGACGTGTTTTGCTTCCTCTCCGCCGCAGCCCCGCAACTCAGCAAAACCATGCATACTCATGGTCCCACCAAGTCAGAGGGTAATCTGACCCCTCCCCCCGGGTTTGAGGGGGCCAACCAGGGGGCTTCCCTGGTGCTTCCTCGGGCAGCTAGCCCGGGCTCTAGTCCCCGGAGTGAAAGGGGACCCCTGGCCCAGGGTAATGCGACCCCCTCCCAGGGTACCGGGACCTCAGCCCAAGGATATGGGCCCCCCGGCAGCATGGGTCAGAGCTGCCTCCCCGCCCACGAGAATGGGCACCCCCATGGCAGCCAGGGTCAAGGCTGCCCCCGGCCCAGGGTGAGGGGCCCTTTAGCAGTAACAACAGTGTAAACAGTGTACATGAATCTGAAAGAGCAATTTATCAGTTCGGCAGTATAACAATAGTGCTAAACACAATTCTGTGTTTCGTTGCTACGAAAAAGTCTTGGCCACGGTCGGTCATCAATGATCAAATTAAAAAGCATTACAAACCGGCTGCAATCGAACAAGCCCATGACATTGTGATCAGTTTATCCGACTCGAGAAAACCCAGGAGCACGACAAGGGACACTAAACGGATGACAAACATTATTGTGCACAGTATGATTGATCAGTGGGTAGATAATCAAAACATAGTGTTCGCAACAACTACAACGGACAATCCTCCAACAGACTGGTCACCACCTAAGAGATCAGGTAATTCTATTCCTTTTGTAAAGTTCTTTCAAAAGAGTACAGACCAAGGAACACAGACCTGTAATGGGCCTTCCCTCACGGACCAAAACTTGATTGAAAACAAAATCGACTTGTTGATCGGAATGTTTTCCGAACAACAGTCGACCATCAATAAATTAATAGGGCAAAAACAAGCAGAGGACGCATCGGCCACACAAGAGCCGATCCCCCCCTACCTCCCATCCCCACCGTGATCAAACCACATATGAAACCTTTCCCTTCACATCTCCTCCCCAGTCACAACGCCCCTACCTCCACCCCAAACCCTCCTCCACACCCTCCATACCCATACCCGCGACCAGCAATCCTCCCCTCCCAATACCCTCCCCTCTCTCCCTGCCCGCGGCCAGCCAGCTCCCTCGCGCCCTTGCTGACTCGCCGGCCGCCAACTCTGCTGAGCCATCGACGTGCCCCTCGCCGGCGCTCCTAGCCAGCAGACCCCCGCCCCTACAGACGCCCCCGCCTCCCCAAAGTCAACTAAGAGCCCTCCTGCCGTGAGACCCAAAACCACACGCCAAAGAAGACCAAGGTAGAAGCTTCTACACAAGTAACACCTAAACGGAGCTTTAGAAAAAGACAAAACAACAGGAGTAACAATCAAAGAGAACATCTCGACCCCAACCGCCACTGGGAGGAAACAGCTCAGCAGCAGGTGCAAGGGGCTACCGCCCAACCCGCTGCCCCCCCTCCTCCAGCAGCACCACCAGTCATCATTAACAACTATGCCGAACGAGCAAAATCCACACAAATTGATGAAGACGGTTACACCAAGGTCAAGTCAAGAAATCAGAGAAAAAGAGACAGAGAACACCAAACACCAAAGCCGTTAAAGGGAGCAGATCGTCCTGACACAGTCTACCTTTTACATCACCAGTTGTCACCCAGACACAAACGAAGAGGATATAGAAGAACATCTATCCGAAAAGTTTGAAAACATAAGTGTCAAGGCCCATAAGACAGTGATGACACATGATTACTACACCAGCTTTTACGGTGTCAGTAAGAGGAAAGAACATCAAACCTGATCTATTTTTAGACTCTGATACTTTTCCTGACAATGTTAAAGTGTTCCTAAAAAAACAAGTACAAGCGCGATCAGAATGTTTGACCAGGCAACGCCGTCAGCGTTACCAATGACTAGATCGCAAAATGTCATACAAATAGAGCAATAAACGCCAGTCTCTCCTCGGGCATTTTGAAGAAATTAAAATGCTTGTTGAGGAGAGAAACATAGACATATTATGCATAAGTGAAACATGGCTCCACCAGGAAATGGTCAGTAATTTCATAAATATTCCAAATTTTAAAGTTTACAGATGTGATGCAGGGCGAGGAGGAGGAGTGTGTATATATGTACGGGATACCCTGAAGTCAAACAGGATATCTACTACAGCAGTTAACAATACTGCCGTAGAAGATGTCTGGGTTACCGTACAAAGCAACATGCTTCCTTCCTTCATTATTGGCACTGTCTATAGGCACCCCATGCTACCTCGGAATCTTTTGAATACATTGAAAAGGTTTTTAGAGAAATATCCTTAAAAAAGAAACCGCTTTTCATCTTAGGTGACCTAAATGACGATTTAACAAAATCTAATGCTAAATTAGCGAAGGTAATTAAGAAAAATAAATTAGAACAAATAATAGATAAACCTACTCGAATTACAGAAAACACCTCTTCTCTATTAGATTTAATAATAACTAACAGACCAGATCTCATTCTCCATTCCGATGTCACCCCGTGCCACGTTGCTGATCATGAACTTATCACGATGACGATAAATATAAAGAAAACAAAGAGACCACCAGTAAATAAAACTTTTCGCGATTTCAAACACTATGACCCTCAGTCTTTCCGCGAACTTATCCTGTCTAAAGAAATGAATCTATTAAATATTCCATCGACAGATAATGTAAACAAACAAGTAACTATTCTCACGGAAGTTATTAATACCAGCATCGATGCGCTGGCTCCCTACGTAACACGAATCGTCAGACGTCCCCTGCTCCATGGATAAATGACGACATCAAGAGAGCCATTTGCGATAGAAATGAAGCCCACCAAGCTCTTAAATTTAACAGACATGAAGCTGCCTTTCAATTAGATTATAAAGTAAAAAAGAAAAATGTCAAAACGTTAATTCAATCTGCTAAAAGAAATTATTTCAGAAATAAATTTACCGAGTATAAGAACAACTCTGATAAAACATGGAAAACTGTTAAAACACTAGTGCCTCAAAACAAACTCACTAGTGATTGTGCAGGGCCTACAAACACAGAACATTTTAATCACTTCTTTTCAAAAATTGGAAAACTAACTTATGAACAAAACAACTGCTTCTACATTACAACGAAACACAGATAGGGCAATGTTTACAACTAATTTTTTCAGACCACAACCAGTGGACGTAGAAACAATAATCTTAGTAATAAAACACCTTCGCGAAACAAATGCTGTAGGAGCAGACGGTATTGCTTTGCGCTTTATCAGAGATAGTCTACCGCAATTGCACATTATTTGACGGTCATTATTAACACCTCTCTGGTCACTGGTGTCTTTCCGTCGCTTTGGAAACATGGTATAGTAACACCAATTTTCAAGTCGGGGGATATAGACGATGTGAATAATTATCGCCCTATCACTATACTCCCTATATTATCTAAAAGTTCTTGAAAAAATTGTTGCAAATCAATTAACGAGTTTCCTGGAGGCCAATAACTTATTATCTAAAACGCAACATGGTTTCAGAAATAAGTTATCTACTGAACAGCTTTACTACAAATTACTGATGAGATCTATAATAACATAGACAATAATCAAGTAAATTTGCTCACATTATGCGACCTTTCTAAGGCTTTTTGATAGTGTTAACCATGAAATTCTCCTCAACAAATTAGTAATTCATAAAATTGATACCTTTTGGTTTAAAAGTTATTTAGATGCAAGGACCCAATCGGTAAGAATCAAAGATTGTATGTCATCAAAACAAGAAGTACCTTTTGGTGTTCCACAAGGATCCATTTAGGTCCGATCCTATTCACAATTTTCATAAATGATTTATCACAATAGCTCATAACTGCCTTCTGGTACAGTAACGCCGATGATTCACAGTTTCTTCATAGTGACTCTGTAAACAACTTGAATACATTAATAAGAAACACTCAACATACCCTTACACAAGCAAAATTATATTTTGACACTAATGGCCTTAAACTAAATCCACATAAAACTCAATGTATATTTATAGGTAGCCGGCAGAATATAGCTAAAATTCCCAATGACACGACCATAGAATTTGAAGGCTGCTCTATCAAGCCGAACACTTCGGTGAATAATCTGGGAGTACACTTGGACAAATACATGACATTTGAACAACACGTTGACAAGATACACGGGAAAGTAATGGGCACCCTAGTATATCTTAATCACA